GCATCCGAAGAAGTGAGGTTTTAACTCACGAAAGCTTATGCCCAAATAAATCTGTTAGTCTTTAAGGTGCCACCAGACTCCTTGTTGTTGTTTTTTTGCAGTGGAGACCTCCTACTATATTGGGGATGTGGGTTTTTTGGGGAGGAGGGGGCAAATTCTTAATGTTCACCATTAGGTCCAAACTTGTGTTAGCGTCAGTGGAAACAAGATTTGATCCTTGGTGCTTTTTTCTCTAAAATAATTTTTGAAGCTTGGTTTGCTGTATTTTGAGTCTGTTAAATGTTATTTCTTGTTTTGTGAGCTGTTAACACAAGTCTAAATGTTGATTTGTATTTTGTTTCCTAGCTCTCTAAACAAATAAACTAAACACAGCTGCAGAGTACTGTGTAGGCCCCATGTTATATTACAGAGTGTTTTCCCCTCCTTTTGCTTATTTTCTCAGCAAAACATTGTTAGCACCTGCTAGGCAGTGAAGAAAATCTACACAGGCTACAATAGTAAGATTTCAGTTACAGCAATAAGGGAAAGTGGGTGAAAATAAGCATCAGTAGTTTCTTTGGATTGGATGTTTTACGTGGAGAGATTCATTTCCCTTTTTAGACTCCCTTGAGACACTTCCCAGGTGTACCCTGGGCTGTGAGACATCTCATTAGTGAAAACAAGTAAAAGTTTATTTAGTGTATAGAGATACAAGTGATAGCAAGTAGATGAATTGGAAACAAATGGTTGCCTATAGAAAAAAATCATAACACGCATTGTAGAACTAGACTTACTTACTTAGCTACTTACCTGTCTTACAGAGCAGTGCTCACCTGAAGTCTTTCCACCTTTTTACAGCCACGTTTGGCAGTGACCCTCCATTCATAAGACAAGTCACTCTGTCAGCTGTCTTCTCAGTGAAAGGTCCCAGGTGCCTGTTTGCACTCCAGATATATTAGAACAATCCATTGTCCTTGTTCATAAAGTGGTTATTTCCTGTATACTCCTTCCTTGTAGATTTCACAAACACGTTATCAGCATGTGGCTCAGGCTGCAAATAGGCATATACTGGAACACACAATGACCAGACGGGAGGATAAATGTCTGTTACCCCCTGCCAAAAGGAACCTTCTGAGACATGCCACTTTCTGGATACTGCCTTAACATAATTTTCAGCATGTGCACATAACTTCATAATAATTATCATCTGTACAGACATTTCTCAGTGATTATGATGACCAGTGGGCTACTGGCTGCTGGTAGAGACCTCACACCATCCTTTAGTGACTCATTGTGCATATATCTGACCCAGGGGACCCCTGTGAAACTGTATGTATGTACCCCTCTGCCCTGTTCCTCCATCACACCCCTCTTATGATTCTACAAGCATATCAGACACCGTGATATCCAACTGTTGGACAGCTTGTTTGTGACACCATGTTGGGGGCTGAAAAAAAAGTAAATCCGCCACTGAGTCAATGAGAGTTTTGCCTCGGGAACAAAAGGAATGCTCTGTTCAAATCTTCAGGTATTATTTTAAAAGTTTTTAATAGCAAACTGAATCCTGCTATTCCTTTGCATTTAGAGAACTCAACATGCAATCAATACACGTTGGGATTCAGTACAGAAATAGCAGACAAGGTCATATCCCTATTTTTGTAATTTCACTTCAGTGAAACTCTTCTTTGTTTTCGGTTGTACTAGACTCGGTGGAGAAATTTGGACAGATAAAACTGGTCGTGTTAAAGTTGGTCCCTTTATAATAACCAGCTACAAATCTTTAACTGCCATCAGTTTGTATTGGCTATTTAGACGTGATGGAGGCCATATAAGAATTTGAATAGAACAGAAGTAAGCCTGTCCATCTGGATTCTATTGAAACTCGAATCTACCCTCAAATCAGCAAAACAGAGCTCTGAGTTCTCAGTGAATACTTGTGGAACCTGTGGCTGCAAAGTGCCTCACATGGAGCAAGCAGAGAGCGGTCAGTGGCCACATGGTTCTGAATAAGAGCTGTGTTTCGCAAAGATATGAGCAGCAGAGGAGACCTGCATCTGTCTGCAGACTCAAGACTGAATTGCATTCGTTTACAAGTTCTCCTTTGAGAAGGTTATCTTAATTTACTAGAAACTGGATACTAGAAACTTAATTTTTTGTTCTTAAATGAAAGCGTAAGTTCTACAGAAATTGACATTTAGGTGCACGTGCTCACTAGAGAAAGCTTCACACTGACCAGTGATAAGTGAGATTATATATGCACAAACTAAAAAGGTTGTGACCAGTCTAATAGAAGCAGTTTCAGCCTCTTCAGCTCACGCCTCTTTCAGAGCCATCCCAGACAGAGTATTATCAGGGCCAGAGCTGTATACATAGACCCATCTCCTAATAAGTATTTTGTAGGCAGAGTTTCTTCTGTTTAGAAATTTCTTCACAACCAACCAAATTCCTGGGTGAAGCAAGCAAAAGCAGGTTAGATTAAATCAAGTGGAACAAGAATGTGAACAGGGAATGAAAGATGCACAGAGTACGGGAGAGAGATAGGACAACTATCTTTTTTGTAATGCAAAACTGGCAAATTACCCTAGGTGCAAAAAGTGTATTCCTTTTGTATGTAAGATGGTAACACATTGAATTTAATCAGGATGATAGACCTAATCACACAGTTGTTTAAACAGATTGCATGCTACAGCAGAAGGCATTAAAAATCCATATTTACCCACACAGTTTATTACAGATATCACCTATCTAAGTATAGAGGAAAATTGTTATAGTCTTAAATACCACTGTGTTCTAACTGATGTGAAATGCTGACTTTTAATGTCAACCACTGTACATGTCTGATCTGTTTCTGCTGGAAAATGCAGTTGGGCGGTCTGCATGACCTCCCCAATTGTCCAAAATTGCTTGTTTCTAAATAATTGTTAGTTTAGTTAAGACAGCATTTTATCGTTCTAATATAAATAGTGTATGAATACAGCCCAAGTTATAAATCAAGGGCAACAGAGTAAATAGAAACAGACTGTCTGACATATTTGACTGTTTTGATTTTGGAAAAATGTGTTGATCTCCATATATATGTATTTTTAAAAGCATCTCTTCTGAAATATATTCTAATTGCTTAATTGTAAGTACTATGCTGTGCCACTAGCTATAAAATACCTTCTTTCTTCCCAAATTTCCTCAAA